TTCCGATCTTTTCCCTTCAGGATCTGGATTCATTCATTGCTTTTGCGAGGTAATTTTTTTTTTTTCAGGATCATCTTCGTTTTTCCCTTTTGTTTTAGTAATAATATTCTGTGGGTTAGATGTGGAATGTTAACTGAAACATTGATAGTGTAGGGCTTTGCAGCGAGTGTGTGTATGTTTGGTGTTTCTGTTCTTTGACATTGCTCGAATCTGATTGTTTTGGATGAATCATAGAAGGGGAGCTTGTGTGCTACTCTGAACGCAAATCTGCCAGATAGCGATGGGTATTGTGTATTTTTTTGCGAAGAATTAGTGAGCATAATGTTTTCTGAAAGATTGGGGGCAGACCAATCTCATTGTCAAGATTTGCAGAGTTTGAGTGTGTCGAAGAGACTTGTGAGGAGTGTTAGCCAGAAGTTGAGGAAGAAGAATATCAGGAATGTGGGGGAGGAAGATGATGATGATGTAAATGGGGTTTCTTTAAGATGCTTAAATCTGTATGGACGAGGTGGGGGCTGCAAGGTAGGTGCTGACACTAGTGATGATTTTGGTGATTCAAGCAGTAGAAGGAGGTCTAGTGCCAGTGACGAAGGGAAGGGATATAAACCGATTTGTGGTCCGGAAGAAACTGCTGTGGATTGCTTTTCATATGGGGTGAAGGACAGGTTTTGGAGGAGATACTACCGAAAGAATTCCGAGCTTGAAGAATTGTTAACGAACAATAGAATGCATATCTTTCTTCCTGATGATATTCTTGAAATGTGTTTGGTTAGGCTCCCGTTGACAAGTCTCATGAATGCCCGACTTGTGTGCAAAAAGTGGAGGTCCTTGACTACAACGCCTAGATTCCTCCAAATGAGGAGGGATGGTTCATATCAAAATCCATGGTTGTTTCTGTTCGGTGCTGTTAAAGATGGCTTTTGTTCTGGTGAGATACATGTGCTGGATGTGTCTATGAATCAATGGCACAGGATAGATGCCGATTTTCTCAGAGGAAGGTTCTTGTTCTCCGTTGCTGGTATACTAGATGATATCTTCGTTGTTGGAGGATGTTCTAGCTTGACTAACTTTGGGAAAGTGGATAGGAGCTCGTTCAAGACACACAAAGGGGTGCTTGTATTTAGCCCCTTGACTAAATCTTGGCGTAAAATGCCGTCCATGAAATATGCCAGATCAAATCCTATATTAGGAGTCTCTGAGGTCAGTTTGGATTTTCCAGCTTGTCAAAGCCATCAAAGTCGGCAGGATAGACGTTTTCCAAGATCAAGGATTGGTGGGGTTTCAGATGTCTATGAGGATCCTCATAAGCTTTCAATGAGACGTCATTGCAGATCTGCTTTTAATGAGACCGAAGCGCCATCTTTGCCCAGTCGAAAGGCATACAAATTCCTTAGACAAAAAAGTGATCATTCAGGCTCAAAGGGCAGTAAAAGATTCTTGTTGATAGCTGTAGGAGGTCTGGGATCTTGGGATGAGCCTCTGGACTCTGGAGAAATATATGATTCTGTGTCAAATAAATGGACTGAAATCCCAAGATTACCTTTTGATTTTGGGGTTGCTCGTTCTGGAACTGTTTGTGGCAGGATGTTTTATGTTTTTTCTGAAACGGATACGCTTGCGGCATATGACATAGAACGGGGTTTTTGGGTTGCAATTCAAACCACTCCAATCCCACCTCGGGTTCATGAATACTACCCCAAGCTTGTATCTTCTAATGGCCGTCTTTTCTTGCTCTCAGTGTCCTGGTGTGAAGGGGATGGTCAAATTGGGCGACGAAACAAGGCCGTTAGAAAATTATGGGAGTTGGATCTCATGTATCTTACCTGGACTGAAGCCTCAGTGCATCCTGATGCCCCAATGGACTGGAATGCTGTTTTTGTGGCAGACAATAACCTGGTTTTCGGGGTGGAGATGTTCAAAATATTTGGTCGGGTGTTGGGTTTTTTCACTGTATGTGATGTGTCTGATATGGCAAACTGGAACCATATTTCAAGGAATCATGCGACTCATGAGCTGGATGGTTCTTCGTGCTTGACCAAATCTGTGGCAGTGCTACACCTTTGAAATCCATTGTGCATGTATGCTAAAAAACAGAATCTTAGATCTTCCCTTTATGTTGTTTTGTTATGCAACAGGATCGGTAAGTCCTGCTTCATCTTTGCTGCATATAATTGTATATGGGCAAATCTTCTAAACTCCGCGATTCTCAGTTTCTGTGCTTCTCATGTACCTTTTATTTAATTCATTTCACACCAATCATAAAGTTGAATTCCACACTGACTTTGCACTTGTATTATTCCTTCTAGCCATCAAGTTTCTGGAACTATGGTTTTGTATCATAACTTGTTGCACTAATCAACCTCCTTATGAATTTGGTATATGGCTATACTTTTATGCACTCCAAGTGTAGCAGTTAGCCTCACACATGACTGCATGAAACATTACAGATCTTAATTTGACTTTCTCAGTTCTGAAGAAGACATAAATCCCTGGGCAGGGAATTGGCTTAATGATGAAAACGAGCATATAATGTGTGATCAGGTGCATTGTAGCACCCTCAAATCTATCATTGCTAATATTTGCTGGAAAAGTTGCTAGAGGTTTTCTTGTGAATCTTTGGTGCATCTATCGTTAAATCACTAAAATTCTCATGAAAACACCTGGTATAATTAGCGTTTTCTTGTATCAGAAAATTGTTCCAAAAACATGACAACATTAACCCCTCCAAAAAAATGTTGTTGCATACGACCATTGTGGAAGTTAGTTAACTGTGAAGTGTAGTCTTGTTTATCCCTTTAACCATATGATAAAGGCTTATTTTTTCATTTATTAAAATATGTTTTTAATGAGAAGAAAAAAAGTCACAAAATCAAAATTTTAATTATTTGGTCGGTAAAGGTTCTGAAATGGCCATGCGAGAACTTTTATTGTGTACTATTGTGCATGTGAATAATGACAACACAGTCGATTGCCTGCATACTGCATATGCCGAGTTTGAAAGATTTATGCGAGAGCAATATACAAACAAAAAGAAAATTACTGTGATTTTTGTTTCTTCTACATACTTTTTTATTTATTTTTGCAATATTGATAATATAAAGAATAGATAATATATGTGATTGGTTGATGCCGGAAATAATTTGTGATTGGTTGATGTATAAATTTCTGTATATTGATAATACAAGCTTATTAAATTCTTCAAAAGGTAATTTAATTACATTTATATTTTCTAATATAATAAAACTAATTATTCAGAACTGCGAATGTGCTATCACTAATTACGAATAACTATATACACTTTTTTTAATAAGAAAATATAACTTACTCTCAATTTACTCTCTCTTGAAAATAATACGACTTCTACCTCTATTTTTCGGCCATGATTTTAATTCTTCCTAAAAGGAGGAGCAAATATATCTTACTATTATCAATATTCAATGCTCTTGAAAAGGCCATTACAAGTAACGTCAATAAGATTTAAGGGGTATTTGAGTTTTTACAAAAAAATTATTAGGTTAATGAAAATGAAAATAAACTGTAACTATAATAAACTTCTATCCTACTTAAATAAGTTTTATTTTTCATAAATAAATTCTTTTAATATAAACATTTTTTTAAATCAATAATTTAAAATAATAAGTAAATATTTGTTTTATAAAACACATGATATTTTTCAATTGTTTTAAAAAAAATGACGTTAATTAATCCATTGATAATTAAAAAATCAATTTAAGTCAAATTATAAAAATAATGTAATTTTATGTTTCATATAAATGGTTAATGAACAAGAGAGTTTAATTTATGGTTAATGAACAAGAGAGTTTAACTTAATTGGTCGGGTAAAACATGTGAATATTATAAAATCCCTTGATACTTAGGTCAATTTCAATAGATAAAAAAATGACTAATATACAAAAAATATAATCTTAGATATAATTTTTTTTTGAAAAAAAAATGAGTATTACCTGTATTAGTCTATAAATTTTGTTTATTTATAATAACTAAAATTTAAATGAGCAAAAAATATGGAAATCGGTATTGTGATAGCAAGGATGAAAACCTAAATACAAGAAACAATATAAAGAGGGGGAAAAAAAGAAGAAAAATTGAAGTGATCCGGGGACTAAAATCCGATTCAAACCTGAAAAAGCGACAGAATCATGAGCAACAAATGAACACCTCATAAAAGAATGGGTAACGTGTATACAACAATCCCCAACTGCAGTTGGATAAATGCATACAAATAGTAGAAGATAACCATAGATACAATCCAAAACTGCTTGGCAAAGATAAAATTACATACAAATTTGTGATCACCAACAGAACAGTGAAGCATCTACAACACTACAAGTTCGTCTTATGCCATGTTTGGAAAGATTCCTGAGAAGTTTGGTATCTTATCAACATGTTTAAGGGCTCGCTCAGCTGTCTGTCTAGTTCGATAGTCCCCATGCTGGAAAGCATCCACAAGTGCAGTGCTCACATTTTGGTCCCCAGAAACTTCATAGGCTATATCATCTGTTCTCAATAATCTCTCCACTGCCCAAACTGCCCTCCTCCTCAAAGTTTCTGTTCTTTTCTCAAGTAGCACATCAAGTATAGGCTTCACTCCATCTGCTTCACACAAAATTGCCACACCTTGCTCAATATCCACCCCATCATCTATCAAAGTAGACAATGCTGCAAGTGCTGCCTCAACCACATTCACATTTGTGTGGTCCAGTAGACCTACTAACTTAAGCACCGCCTGCCCTTCATAGAGACAAAATGTTTCTTTTAGAGAACACATCCCTCGGTGGAGCCGACATAATCCAGTTATGACAGGCTGCTTGATGAAGCATGAAAACATTGAAGCGCAAAATCCCGGTGGTGGTATTTCGGGCAATTTGGTTAGATTTTTCGATTCTTGGGATAAATTCTCCAGAGCTGTGGCTGAAACCATCTGAACATTGTCAAGTCCATTGGACTGAAGCAGATCAATGAAGAGCCCAGCGAGATTGTGATCACGGCAGAGTGCAATGGCATCAGCCTCTTCGGCCAAGACATATGTAACCCTCGCAACAATCTTTACAAGCCCTTCGAGAAATGGAGTCATGAAACGAGTGCCTCTGATCTCTCCCTGCCTGATGGCAATCACCCTGGATATGACCATCACAAATGCACCTTCATCTAGAAGCTGTCTTGTGAGGCCCAAGTCCCTTTCTGGTAGTTCGGCTAAAAGGCCGACAGCCGCTGCTTGTTCTTCGGTGATTCCTGTATTTTCTGCTATGACTCTAATTAGACTACCAAGCTGTCCAACTGAGCCGCGTAATGCATCCGCTAGTTCCTGACCCATATGAGGAGACAAATTCTGAAGAAGTTTTATGGAAGCTACACGCAGATCTTTCTGCGGTGCCTCAATGAACTGAACTAGACTAATGGTGGCACCAGAGCTTTTGATAGCAGCCACAACACTGTGAACTGTAGTTTGGGAAATAGTAAGTCCAACAAGAACTTGGAGAAGTTTGCACTCTATTGCTGGACCAGTGTTACTTATAAGATGGAGCAGATTACGAACTATATCCTCTGAGACCAGAGTCTGGTGATCAGGTCCAAATGGAATGGAAAAGAAGTCTTCTCCTGAGTTTACGACACTGGCAAGAATTGTAGCAGAGATCTCCTTTAATCGTGTGGGAAGCTGATTAGGGCCCACGGCAAAAAGGTCATTGACAAGAGGAGAAAGTATTCCAGCCTCTATTAAAATCTTCGCACTTTGTTCACACGATGATATCTGATTTAGTGCCCTCAGTGCAGCTTCTCTTGATTGCATATTACCACTTTTCATCATATTGATCAGAGATGAACCCACAGCTCCAGCAACAAGGACTTTAACATCATTGTTTAAAACCAGCTCACCAAGGTATGCAGCCATGGAGAGTTTGGTTTCTGGTGGCCCTGCAAACATTTAATCAAAAACAACTTGATATCCACATAGGAACATGAAGTTCTACAAGCGAGAATCTTGATTCCAAATTTTGGGGTTGTTATTGCAAATAATTAATCAAAACTAAATGGAACACGAAAATTTACCAAGGGCTGCATTCTCTAATATTTCATTGAAATTATATCTTGATTAATTTTTGGTAATCGCACCTTTTCTAATTGTTTGTATTATCTATATAGTTTCTGGTGTTTGGGGTAGACAATTTTTCAGAAAACATTTCTTTATTATTTTAAGAGATAAAACTGACTTGGACATTTTAGAGGTGGAAGAAAACTATAAGATATTATATCACTTTCAACAAAAAATTTCAATTAAAAATACTCTCTTCCCAGAAATATCTTCAAGGAAGCTATTTTCTACCTAGAACTTAGAAGTGATTATTAGGAACATAAATGATATCAATCTTCAGTTAGAAGCTTATTTTGAACATTTTAAACATAAAGCAACATGTATAGGTTATTGCATTGTAACTCATCAACGACAACAAAAGCCTGATCCTACTAGGTGAGGGCGACTACATAAATCAAGCAACAAATCATGGGTATGCTGCAATATATGTTATAGAGTATTAGTACCTTCATGAAGCTGGGTTAAAAGAGGCTGCAATCTACCATTTTCAGCCATCTGCCGCACATTATTCTCACACTTCTCCAGATTCTCCAACGTTTTATCAGCCTTCTCAACAGTGTGAAGATCTTCTGATTTGCTGCTTGTCATTCCTACTAATATAAGAATGGCTCCATTGATTGAACCAATCTTCTCACAAAGGGTTGCAGATTTTGAAAGCTCATAAAGCAAGGAGACAGCCTCCTCTCTTTCTTTAGAAAGTTCGTGTGAAAGGAATTTCACTACAGTACGCACAATATCCCCTTCAGCCAACAATTCCTTTGGAGCATAGAGAATATGTTAACATGAATACGCCAAAAGTACATCAATGAAACCAAAAAACTAGAAAGGAAATGAAATGATAACCAGCAAACTATGACAAACCTTATTCTCATCATCTTCCTCTACCACAACTCTAAGGGTTTCCAGAGCTCTACATCGAACCTTGCGAGTGCTACTCTTCAACATGTCAACAATCATTGGTATAAGCCCTGTATTCCGGACCATGTATTTATTGGATCGACTTCTTTGGCAGATGTGCTGGATATAATTTAAGGCCTGAAGAGTTTCGTTCTCTGGACTCCCCATATTCAATGACCGGCGAGCTATATCCAGTTGTGCAGTTTCATTCCTGGCAGTCCACTCCTCAATGGTGTTACGCAAAGCCATACTTGGATTCAGTTCTGTGCTTCTTAACTCCTGCAGAGTCAAAGGGCAAACCAGTTTCCGTCCACTCTCCTTGCATTCCTTGAACCATTTTTCAATTGCTTGACGTTCAAAAGTTTGTCCATTTTCTAAAGTAACAGGATCACGCATAACTTGCTTCGTCAGCGGACATACAAAGGCATCATAAAGAGGCTCAATATGCAACCTATCAAAATGAAGGCTATCTTCCGACTGACTGCCAGGGTCATTACTTCCATCCCAGCTCGCAGCCATTATATATCTAGTAATCTATTGTCACAAAGAGCACACGGTCAAGGTAGTGCTGAGAAACTTATACAATAATTGGAAGATCAAATAATTCAACGTAAATATGTAGCCATTTACATATAATTAAATTAGAACTATATGTCTCTCATCTAATCACAAATTGTCATGAATGGTACATTTGTTTACTTCTATAATAACTAAAACTTATACATAGAATGATTTCTGATTGGTTGACATAACACTTAAACTCTATATATCATATTATTTTCAACCAGTGCCAGAAAAGCATCAGCAACTCAGACAGAAACACAAACCAAGTTGTGTAAGAAGTTAATTACAAGAACGAAACTGCAAGATGTCGTCCAATTATGAATCAAATGAAGTCAAAACCCCTCTGATCGTCACTGCCCAATTATTAATTTATCCAATGCAATAAATTATTAACACAAATTAGATAGCTGCAATGACCCAGTATCAACAATTAATAAACGTAAGACACAGATCTCCCAGAATTGCATATTCCTTAATTTAGAAACAGGCCGATGCAAAATAATTCAGCTTAAGCTTCATTTAAACAGAAATAGATGGTATTTTAAGTAATTCAGACTCAATCAAAAATAGAAACTTTTTTTTTTCTCCAGTAACTGCGGTGCGGCGATGATAAACGACCATAAACAAACAGAAAGTCTCAATTCTAAAACGCATCGAAAAATCGCAAACGACAGTAAGCTAATCAAGAAGAACCGCACCTGTGTCGGAGTTCCAAGAAGCAGCGAGCCAGAAAAAAAAAAAATCCTTCTTTTACTTTCTAGTTTGAAAATTGAAGAGAAACCCTTAACGCAAAGTTGATTTTGCAGCGTAATTGGCGTTGTGCCATGGTAAATAGTTGGAATTGCAGGAGCCGAACCGGAGAAGAGAGGTTGTTGAGTTGAGTTGAGCTGAGTTAAACAGAAACACCCCAAAAAAAAAAACCCAAGCTTTATTGCAAAAACTTGGTGAAATAAGAAAAGAAAGTGGTAAGAAGGGAAAAGGAAAACAATAAGATAAAAATAAATAATATTTTTAAATAAAAAAATAGAAAATGCAGAGAGAGAAAAGAGAGAGAGAGAAGGTTGACTCGATTGTAATAGTCATCAGGTCAGACAAAGGGAAGCAGAGAAGATAGAGCTATCATCCACCCGAGCCATCGAAAAAAACAGGTTGGCTCATATCATGTGCTAATAGAATAATGACTTTAGGTATAGTTTTTGAATATTCATTTCTAGAAATTAAAATTAAAACTTTATTGTACTTTTTGAGATAAAAATTGATGTTAAAAGTTAATATTAATTAATGTACCGGGAGGACCCTATCGGTCACGTGGACCAACACGTACCGTTCCGTCAGACACCCATGCAAACTGAACCATACCTAAAACCCTGACGCTAGCATCGGCTCGGCCTACAGCTGAAGGCTGAGAAGAGTCTGCTAGCAGTATCGGCTCGGCTGAAGGCCGATACGAACGGCACCATGATGCATCTCCATATACCGCGTAGCGGCTTAGCCAAATGCCGATCAAGTAGAATAGCCGAGCAAGTACTTATCGGCCCGGCCAACAGCCGAAGACGTCCAGCACCCCAAGCCTTAACCTGTCGGCTCGGCGATGTGTCGAAGGATAAAGCAAGGATTATGATATTGATCATGGTTAGCAAGGATAAGTGTATGATTAAGACATAATTAGCCGATTAGAGTCATATTATCTAATTTGGTAAGCTTTAGAAGAGGCCCACTACTGACAAGGCCTATCAGTGGTAGTATAAATAGGTTATTTATATCGAGGTACGTCACTATTCATTAATTATCCTAAAAAATCGTGTTTATCTTGACTTGAGCGTCGGAGTGCCTTTTGCAGGTACCTCCCCCCTTCCGAAGTATCTACCTGAAGCTCCCGTTCGGCCCTTCTCCACAGAAGATTACGAGTGTACCCTCAAACAGGTACAATTAATGAATGTAAAGTTTTAAATTTAACTGAAAAGTAATAGTAATACTTTAAAACAAGACTTAAGTTTTTTATTGAATTAAAACTTTAAAAAGTATTTTTACTTGTATAATCATTGTTTAAAAAGCTTTCATCATAATTCGATCTTAAAATATGTTCGTATTACTCCGATTTTCACCATAGTATTTTTAAAATCTCCTAATAATATATTATAATTTTATATATAAATATAGATTATTGAAAAATGAAAAAAATCAACGACTCAATTAGTTGACAATGATATATTAGAAATAAATATCAAGTTTGATTTATTATTACACGAAGCATATTTACGAGAGATACTTCTTTTAAAGTAGGGATAGTGAGAGTGAGAAAAATATTTATCGAACTTTAAACTTTTATCATTAATAGTTATCATTAAAATAACTAAATTATGTGATTTTAAAGAGAGAAAAATCACATGACTTATTTAAGTGGTTCTTACAATATTTTTTTTAGTCAAATAAACTATTGATTAACTAATAAATTTTCTTATTAAATATAATTAACACTGTATTTGGTTCAAGAAAATAAAAGAAATGAAAAATAGAGTTAAATCTTTTTCTTTTCATATTTATCCCCCTTCCAATATTGAAATGATTTTTTTTGTGTAGAAAAGACAAAATTTTCGTCAAAAAAAATATGAAACAAAAGTGATTTTATATTTTTCAAACTATAAAAAAAAACTAAATTGTCCCAATATTTTTATTTCATCTATTATGTATTTTATTACTATTATAAGGCTATAACAATGTTTGTAAGGTTATTAATTTTTTCACTTGGTCAGATTATTTGTATACATTATTAAAAGATTCACTAAAAAATAAAATATGTTTGATACAAGTTGAAGTTTCATAGCTCGTAAAGACATAAATGTTAAATTTAAATACTTTAACATAACTTATTATTTATGTAAAAGTTAAAACTCATTTTACATAATATTAAAAAAAATTAACTAATAAGTAATCACTATACTCCCATAATTTGTTTGCATGGTACATAACACAAGTCAAAAACCTAATTATGAAGTCAAAGCTATGTTTAACAAAAAAAAGTTGATAAACTAACTCAAAACTTTGGTCCACTCATGGGGAACCTGAGTACTTTTTTTTTTTTTCTCTAAACGTAATTTCAACTGGACATTAAGATAATACTGAAATTAAACATACACGTTAGAACAACTTTTTAGTTCTTTGTTATTTGATTTGCTGCTATAGTATAGTTAGCTCTTTCTCATTTTCTTATGTGTGTGGTTGTACGAACTTATCTAAACTTGCAGATAGTGCTGAAGTATATTACAAATTTGATGACTTCCTCTCATTAATATATATATATTATAATTCTCATTGACAAGATATTCATATATTAACACAAGTATTACAAGTAGAATTGGATTGGATCTCTTATGGTGAATAAACTATATAGAATTGGATATGTTCTAGTTGAGTCTTCACCGGTTCTCCTGGCCTATATATCGTATTCTCGTGTTGTTGATCCTAAGCTTACTGAAGACATGAAGTAAGTGGAGAGTGAGCAATGTATTTCGGTGCTGCTTCTGTGATAATAGCGAAATGATGAAACATTGAACGCTTCACATACGTGTATCATGTAATGAACCCAAGAAAAAGAAAGAAAGAAAAAATTCCATGCACTTGCCATTAAACTTAGTAGTACATATTACACGTCAAGACATTTAATTTTATCTATCCATCATTCACACACATCCGGGCATTACCAAAAAAAAATATATAGAAAAAGCTCTCTTGAAACTGATACATTGGTCACACCATACAATAGCTTTTCTTCTAGCTATACACAAAAAATAATATGCTATGATGAACAATCAAGGAAATGGAAACAAGAAAGAAAAACCGGGACGAGTTGGATTGCAGGCTAGAATGCACTCCAGCTATCTGAGCCTTTCTTCGGAGAATGATTTTCTGAAGAGACCTTAAAAGGGCCAGAGGAGCCGAAGGGATCAGAGTCATCGAAAGAGAATGGACCACTGTGACCGAAGTCCTTGGTGCTACTGATTGAGTCAAACCTTGCATGCCCCTGATGACCAAAGCCGAAATCGTTACTGCTACTCATGGAATCAAACCTTGTGAATTTGTCGTTACCGAAGCCAAAATCCTTGCTGCTACTCATTGAATCAAACCTTGTGAATTTGTCGTTACCGAAGCCAAAATCCTTGCTGCTACTTATGGAATCAAATCTCGTGAGCCCCTCTGGTTGTGGAGAATACCCACCTTCATGCCTAAAGGAATCAAACCTTGACATGTCATAGAAGTGATCCCCTGCCTCACTGTACCTCGGAGAGTTTTCGAACTTGGAAACTGGAGTTGCAGGCACTGAATCATCAAAAGTAAATGGGCTTTTTGTCTGGAACATGCCATCTGTATGTGTAGATCCTGTTCTAACTGGGTTTAGACCAAAATCATCAGATTTAAAGAAATCTCTCTGCTCGAAGTCAGATTCCTACAAAACCAAACATAAAAATTTTAGTTGGTAGTAGTTTTATATCAATTATTTTTTCACAAAAGCACTATGCTGTAGCAAGCGATGTTATGTTGTCTCGAAAACCAAAGAAACTTGATCTTTGAAAATGACATCCCTTATTCAGTTCTTTGGTAGTAGCGCTAATTCAAAAATAAGGGGAAAAAGTCCACCATTGCCTATCTTACATCAATTCAGTACAAAAATAATCTTAAAAGAATTTTACCGAGAACAATTCTTCTCAATGATTGCAACTAATTAGCTTGGTATCCAGAACAAAATAAAATTAGAAGCTATGTAAAGCTCGAGTTACCTTGGGCTTAGTGTTAAAACCCCACACAGAGTCGACATCATCGTTGTCAAATGCCCCCCAGGTTGATTCATCGAAACTTCTGCTACCATAGATTAATAATATCACAATTACTAGATGCCTCACATTCAAATCCATCCATTACAAAAACCAAAAAAATTGGAAAAGATCAATCGACCATCATGAAAAGATTCCCCCTCCCCCAACACACCCCTCGTGACCAAAAGAAAAAACAAATTACCTATGTGTTTCTGCATCTGCTTCAGAACCTTTAAAATGATCATTTGAAAAGTCTTGAGAAGGACTCCCCACTGTGCTCCTCCTAGCTAGACTATCATGGGGGCTTCTTGCCAACTCATCTTCACTGTGTGCATAGGATTCATCCTCAACTGTATAATCACCATTAACAGAATGTTCTTGCTTCCCATTTGCGTTCACAGGTGAACCAAGTACAGAATTATCATCAGCAAAATTTTGCTCTCCGTGAATTAATGCAGGTTTTGGTTTTGAAGATGCATTCTTTGTATCAAAAGTGAGATCATTAGCAAATCCTAAAAGTAAACAAAGAAATTAATAAAACAAGTTACCTCATGCAAAACATGAAAATAATTTGCTAAAATAAAAAAAGTTTATGGCCACCTTCATCCTCAAACTTATCCCAATCTTCATCCCAAAGAGCTGATTCCTCTGGAATTCCAGGTTGCCAACCTATAATTCATTGGTTCACACAGATACATGGACACAACCACATCAAAGTTAGAAACAGAGAGAAGTGCATTCAATTGTATCAAATATAAAGTAGCTTATCAGTCAGTTGATATGCAATGCCCTTGATCTTAATAAAAGATCCTTAGAAAAATGTAGGTTTCTAAATCATAAGTCTTTCACATCAAAATCAATACCAAGAATAAAAAATATCAAGAAGAAAAAAAGTCAAAATAAAACATAAAATTGTTATTGCAGAGTGATTCTTGGAGAAACAACAAATAAAAGAAATAAATGATTGAGAAAGAAGCCATGGTGAAACAAAATGTGATTATAATTACCAGCAGGAAGCTGAACCATTGTAATTGACTTCACATCTATCCCATGTTTCTTGCAACGTTCAGCTAGAGCCTTAAATAACTCCTCAAGATCTGACTGTATGCGTTCAGCACGGACCTATGGAATTGGCTAAACATCAGTAACAGAGTACTAGCCAAGTTTCCCCAGAAGCACCAGTCTTTATTTGAGAAATAAAATTCACCTGAAGAATACCATCTGCACTGCCTCCTTGTACCATTTTGACAATGGCTTGCTGCAACTCCACCTTCCTTTCCTAAATATGCACCAATCATTGGTTTAAAAACATTGAAATTTGAAATGTTTTAGCTTTCAAGACATTCATAATCCACCTAAGACACTGGTTTATTGATGCAAAAAAAAGATGTGAAGGAGAGGAATAAATAACCAGTTCCCAACTTCAGAACCATTTCCAAACAGGAAGTAACATTCTCTGAAACACACACACACGTGTGTGTGTGTGGATGGAGGGAGGAAAATTTTCTTTTGGAGGGGGGTTCAGTGGATTTGGATGGACAAGAGTGTCATCTGTGCTCTAAAACTAAAATAGAGCACATTCAGGCTGCTGTGCAAATTATTTCCTCCTAACCTAGTTTTCCATAAGAATACAAAGCATATTGAATGGACTTTCATTTAATTACATGATTCAGTAGATTTACCTCCACTGCTTATGTTTGAACAAACAAGCTGTTGTAATAATGCACACAACACAAACAATAGGAAGAAGAGAAAGAGTCAAAGAGACACATAATTTAAGTGGTCCAACAAATAGTGCACCACTGACCAGCATTCAAACCCGACAATCAAAGCAATTAAAAGAATCACTAAGAAAGGTTAAGATGACAAGGAGTAACTGACAACTGTTCAAGCCATAGTAGTCAATAGTGGCTGTGATAGCAGCAGAGTGGAGTGGGGCGACTCCATGCTGCTACAGGGACCTTGGAGCGGAGCGGTTTCATATAGTGGGTGCAACAAGGCAGAGGGAGGCGGTGAGAATCACGATAGAGCAGAGTGACGGTTTAAAAAATCAGAAAATACCTCATTAAATGAGGGTATTTTTGCCTTTTCATAAGGATCACCATCTACATAGTTTGTCCTAAACTATAAGTCCCCTCTCCTTTTCTATTGAGTGTGAACTGCCCTAACCCTCTGACGACTCTCTTGTTTGTCTTCTCCAACTCTCTCTGTTTGTCTTCTTGGACTCTCTTCATTCGTCTTCTCCATTTCTCTTCTCCAATCATCAGTATTTTTTCTCTCTTTTTCTCTTCTGACATTCCTGTGATTTTCTTCTTTTTTCTTCCTGTTTGCTACTTTTTTCTGTCCCATTTCTTTCTCTTTTTTCTGTTCATTTTTTTTTTATTTGGGCATTTTTGTTCTGTGGTGATCAGCAAAACCATGGCCCAACCGAAAAAACAGAGCTCAATCCCAGATTGGTGCTCTTGGTCCCAAGTCCCAATCCCAGACCATTAATCTTGACGAGGAAGAAGATTGAACTTTAATGTTTACTCTTTTAATTACTTAGAGCTTTAAAACTTTGTTTTCTAGACATTTTATGTTTTGTTCGGGTACTATGACCTTTTATGATTAAAAATGATTAATGCATGAATTTAAAGTTATTTTTTCTGTTTTTCAGTTTTTATATATATATATATATATATATATTATTAATTACTTAATATATATAAATATAATATTAGAATAACTATCATCCCTTTATCCACAATCCTGCTATCTCACTTTTGGGGTTGGCCATTCCGCTCCACTATCCAGGATTGACAACTATGGTTCAAGCCCAAAATTAAATACAGCCCACTTCATAATTGTTAGATATAAAACAATTCATGAGCATTTACTTTACAACTTAAGCTTTTGAGAGTTGGTTCTAGACATGGTATTGGAGATTGTATGACTAAGTGGTCACGAGTTTAATCTTTCTCACTCCATTCTAAATAAAAAGTTGAATTTTAGCATAATGTAAGGTGGTTGTGTGTTATGCATGCTTCAATCCCAAAGGGATCTTGCAGGAGGGGAGTGCTTTAGAATCTTAGATATAAAACCATTTATGAGCTTTTGCCTAACAGCTTAATTTTTTGGGGAGTTGGTCCTTCACAATAACATAAGAACAATGCAGTAAAAAAAGTAGTGCATATTAAATAGTCAATAACTCTCACTGTATACAAATAGCTTATCTTTCAACATGTAATTCAGATTTTCCAATTACCTGTATATCACGAAACTTAGCTTCTTCTACAGTCAATTTCGATGCTATTTCTGCTACTTGTTTGTATTTCTCTTCATATTTCTTGCCCAATGATTCTGCCTGTAACATAAACCAAATGATAGCTAATTCTTTTCACACCTTAAACTTGCATCACATATTAAGAGAAAGGAATATACTTCACGCTTATCTGCTGATGCCCTTTCTGTAATCTCATTTAGTCGATTATCACATCTGCTTTTATACAGAACCTGAAATACAAGTAAACACAGAGGGAGAAGGGAGTGAGTGAGTGCATGATTCTCATTTCTTAAATCAGATTCATAGCATACATACAAATTACAAAATAAATTAATGAATTCATAATGATTTTAACCCAATTAAATCCTTAACTTATCCACTTGAAATCATCTATATTTTCACTGTGCATGAATCCAGATTGATTTTCTTGAGGGGAAATAAATTGTTCCTTGCCTTCAAAATTTCCAGTCTACCTAACCAAAAGACAATTCCTAGGCTTCAACTGAAGCCTAACAAAACCCATAAAACCTAACATTTAGATTGTAGGATGAGTTGCACTTGTCATAGCAAACCAATCCCTACAGCTAAATTAAACAGCCACTGACTGTGTTTTGAATTAGCTTGTATTATGCTTATAATAGTACACTCAATAGAGCTATTTAGCTTAGAAGTTATTTTCTGTAAAAATCAACCAAAACCAAACATGTGATGATTCTTCACAAAGCTACAGGTCAAATATCATTAATAAATTTATTTTTAACCTCTTTGGCATGCAATAACTTCATTAATGCAAACACAAGTTCACTTTAACTTGAGCCACCAGCAGAATGGCCTAGCAAGCCTACAAATAGTTGATTTCAACCACGCCAAGCCTTAAGCAAGAAACATTGATCTAAGATCAAAGTAAATAAAAAAAATTAATAATAATAATAAAGAAACAAGATATGAATTACTCACCAGTTCCTGCATTTTGTTGCGGTAAAACTCGATCTTCTCTTTTGAATCCAAAATCACATTCTGAGTTTCTTCAGACTACAACAGGGAAGAGAAAATATTTTTTTATTTATGATTTCTTAGAATGTGCAAGAGAACCAAGACCTCTAACAAAATAATAAACCTGGTTGAAGATATTACTGAAATATGGGGAATTAATTTCTGGTTAAAAAAGTAAATTGGGCCCACCCGCCAAACAAGCATAAAAAGTGACAGTTCACTTTGGATCAAAAAGTAATTTTGGGCCCCATAAGGCAATCACTAATTTTGAAGGGGCCATCATCAAACAAGCACTAACATAGCGTTTGGTTAGAGGGGAGGAGAACAAAATTCCTCATAACCCAATTTTAGCTCCCCTCCGATAATGAGGGAATTTGGAGGGGAAGAGATGGATTTTAAAACATTTTTCATATAATATTCAAAATATTCTTATTTATATTATTAAATTAAAAAATATAAGGATACAAAAAGTAAATTAGCTTTTAATATTCCTCCCCTCTCCTTGTAAACCAAACAACAAAAGACCTATCTCCCCTCCTCTCAAACCAAACAAAATTTTTAACTCCTCCCCTTCTATCTTCTCCCCTCTCCTCCTTTGAACCAAACGGATCCTAAGGGACTGTGAACTTGTTTGTGTGTCCTTTCTACTGGAACAGTTTCTAGTTACACTTTCAAAAGATTTTGGCAAAAATAAGGAAACAGTGTGTTTATGGGAGGGTGCAGTTTATACAGTTCTTTGGTATATTTGGCTGGGAGAGAAATCCCTCGTATTTTACAAAAGTGTTTCTTACCTTTATGGATGAGTTTTATAATTTTCCAATTTAAAAATTAAAATAACATGTAACCTCTTTTAAAAGGAGAAAATCATAAAATACACTAAGATGAAGAGAAGATAATTACAAAGGATGGAGAATAAAGGATCTTCCTTGATGTACACAGAAAACAAAAGCATTAAAAAAAATGCATAGGGACATTCACTTTCCCAAATATATTTATACATGGACAATAACTACAAAAGCAGAGCATTTACCTTTTTCTCTGCGGTCATATCCCCTTGAGGATCTGAGTTCAATATATTTTGCTCACCATTATCTGTGCGGTTCAAAAAGGAATCTTCCAACACAGGTGTTCCTGACTTTTGCTGATTGGACTGAGTTATGCCATCAGCCCGGGCAGAACTTCCATGCACAGGTGGCCTCAAACCAGCTGTTGGTGCAACTTGCCGAGCACCTGGCATCCCTTGTTGCTGCTGAAAACCTTGAGACAGATAAAAGTAAAAAAATAAAAAATAAAAATAAATAAATAAATAAAATCAAGAAATATCCTATAAGAGAAAAGGAAAAAAAAAGGTTTGAGAAAGTGTAAATAAGGGGAAATACCTTGGCCAGTACCCCAGGCTGCATTTCCATAAGCAATTTTTGGTTGGCCTGTCATAGACATCAGTGTCTCGTCAAACATAACATTGCTTGGAAGAGACTGTGGAAGAGGGCGACCTTCCCTGAACCGTTCCATCAAATAAAGAGCAAAGCAGAACTCCTTCAAAGAAAGCATGCTATCATTGTCCTGATCAGACAAGTCCCACACCTTCTTTAAGACATCTGCACAGAGTCCACAAAGATCTTATTTGCTATCAGAGAAATAATAAAAAGGCCATCCCAAGACATCTTCATCTCTCCAAGAAATTCTCCAAAATAGTGAAGCACTTAACTAAGAAACGGAATCTAAAAATAGAGTAAAGAAACATATCTAGTAGCATTATCAATGTAGCATGTTTTTCTTGGTAGTTTTAATTTCTATTAGTCCATCTGTCGGTTTTAGGATTAATTAGGACAGTTGTTTTAGTTAGTAAGTGGAAGGGTAGGTTAGTTAGAGGGAATCTGAGAGATAAACAAATGGAAGGAAGATGGGCATAGCTAATGGGGAGTCTCTATTCAATTTTCACTTCCAAAATTACAACCTTGAGGACATGGTTTAATTTCAAGATGATAATATTGTCAGGAAGGTAGTTAGGACAGTTGTAGTAGTTAATTAGAAGAAGGGTTAGTCAACTAGAGGGGATTTGGGAGGTAAATAAATAGGAGGATGTAAGGTAACAGGCATTTTATCTTGTATTGTATCATTTGAGAATTGAGCTTTACTCTTTGTGAAAGCAGAAATCCTTTGTGAAGGGCTTACCCTTGAAAGAGAGCTATCTCTCCTATTTTCTGTTATTTTTCAGTCATGAAACAACCTCTCTTTTCTATCTTATATTTCATAATCTGGGTTCCTAGCAGTCTGACAATGAGACCTCGTCAGCAATGACAATTGCATTGGTTGACCCAAAAAAATTCATGTAGGGTTAACATGGGAATTTGGAAACTCTCTTGGTTCATACCAAATTAATTTACATGTGGTGTTGATCCCAAGCCCAAAACTCTCACCTACGATATAAACCTGCTCAAAAAATTGGTATATTTTGTAGCTTTCCTTTACAAAATAATCTAACATAACAAGCCATCAGTATTTCTTGTTATTGTGATACTGAGGTGAAACATGAGGATTTGGAATTGGTTGGGATCCTCGGTTGAGTTGGTTCACAACCAAACATTTATAAATGTATAGTTTATATTAGGTTTAATAACTGTAACCTACCATATATCCCTTCTCAAATTATCAATATCTTTGTCACCATCCTTCAAAAAATGTTCCATTATGGTACCAAGAAGTTCACAGTAAGTGAAAAGATATATAAACGAGGTCACTAGAGAGGCACTTCTTAACTGCTTGAGTTCAGCCTACTGAGGAATGTTTATGTTATGAATGTATCCTAGTTTATAACATTTTATTGAAAAAAGAACTTCCTCTCCCCTCCTTAGTGAAACTTTTATTAGTCTTCCCATCATGTAGCCAAATCATCTCAGGCAATACATTTGATCATCAATAATAGCTAAAGCATTTCTCCATTTCATCTACCAAATTTAAATCATATGATATATCTTCCACTGTTTGTGTGACCTAGTATGATAAATCCAATATATCATTATATCTAAACCAAGTGACTTACAGTATGGTAGAATCTCCAATTTTTATCCAAGCCAATGCTCAAATGTGTTTTACTGAACTTGCATTCCATCTATATACTCAATTTTACTTTCACTTAATTGAAAATCATGTGATTCCAAAGCTTCATTCCAAACGAAAGCAGATAAAAAAATGTAGAGGTAAAAAAGACATAATCTGACTCTAGAAAAACTGCATAATTTGCATTCCAATAAATTATGCCATCAAACCCTGCAGACAAAGCATGTCTTGACTAAAGCTTCAGTAGACACACTCGTTGGATTCTTAAATATGAACTGACCCTCCACCATTGTTTTTAATTCAGATTAGAATGAGAAGCCATAATAATCATACTTCCATCACTAGTCACGATTAAACTTGGACATTGAATGGCCCTTTGCTACTGGAGACTTCAATTTTTATTTTCAAATAAAATCAACATATTTATCTTACCTTCACCAAAAACAATAAAAACTCCCAGTATCAGTGCACATCAGAAAGTGTTGGTTATGCAACATTTCATTGACTAACACATCAACATACCAAAATGCATAAACATTACATCAAAAATAGTCAGTTGAAAAGAAAAAGGTTTTACCTATTGGCAATCTCCAGCTTAAAAATAGACTGCGTGCCTGCTCCCCAGTGATTTTCCCATCCCTGTCAGTGTCGACTTCCATAAACACCTTTGTATACTTCTGCACATCAGAAGGTTTCATTTTTGGCCAAGAATTCTGTGAATTGTCTGAATTTGCATTCCCAAATCCAACTGTCATTCCAGATGGGGTATGCGGAGAAGAAGCCGGTGGTGAGATTTGCTGGCTTCTGTTTGATGGAGACTGTGCCCGCTGTAACTGACTATTTGCAGGCAGCATTGACGAGAATGCACTCTGCAATGAATCAAGTGAATTTTGCCTACTTGCAGGTTGGGCACCAGTGGAAACAGGAACAATTGCTGATGAGACATTGCTAACAGAATAACCCTGTCCAGCAGGTTCTTGTTTCGGTGTGGATGAGGCAGCAGACAAGAAATCATTGCCCAAAACTGAATTGGAAGAGAAACCATTTCCAGAAACACCTAATGCTCTAGTGTTAACAGTTGTTGGCTGGGGCATTGGCGAGACCGGCGATGTTGAGGATGGTAAGGCAGCTGACGGAGTGATTCCTGCAGGTCTGGTAGCAACCGTACCAGGCCTTCCACTCCAATCATTCGAGCCCCCAGGATTTGAGAAATTGTGACCACCCATGTTAACTCCTCTAGTGATATCCGGACCTGCAACACCCTGTTGTGGACGTGGACGTGGACCTGGAACACCCTGTTGTGGTTGCAGACCTGGAACACCTTGTTGTGGTAGCAGACCTGGAATACTTTGTTGCGGACGTGAACCTGCAACACCCTGTTGTGGATGCGGACCGCCACTAGCAGGCATGGATTGAGGAGGTCTCAGGGCAGGATTCTGCTGCGAAGGATAATATTGTGGGTTTGCAACAGGACCTGCCAACCCTTGTCCTCTATAGGCAAAACTCTGAGCTGACGTGGGTGGTGCAGTAACACCCATCTGCCCAACAGAACCAGCACCGGGCCTCGGATTTTGCTGCGGTTGAGGAATCGCAGCAAGATTAATCTGCGGTGCAGGGATTTTAGCAGCAGCAGGACCAAACAACGCTGCCTTCACAATATCAGGCGTTAAATCTCGCTTACTCTGAGCCACAGTTACTAACCTCAGAGCGTTAAAAAACTCCGCGCGCCCAAGGAAACCAGTTTTAGCCTGATCAGCATACGCCCATACCTGTAACTCATACCGAGAACAAAAACCATTACTCTAGAATAATCTAGATCGAGATAACATGTCGAACGAAAAAAGCGAAATGAAGATTTGGCGAAAACCTAAATCAAAGATTCTAGCAAACAATCACGAAAATCCTATTCCTCGAAGAGAAAACACGTGTGGAAATTATGAATTTAAGTGGAGAGAATTGAAAGGTTTGGTTTAGATAGGAAATTGAGAAGAGAAGGAAACCTGAGCGAGGACTGGTTTGGGCAAATTGGATCCCAGAAAGAAAGAGACAGCTTCGGCTCCACTGATTCTGCCATCTCCGTCCAAATCTGCTCTCCTGAAATACGCTTCGAACTGATCCATGTTCGGCGCCGCCATTACGCCGGTTTCGTGTTCGACCTCAAAGTAGATCGAGTCGGTTAGGGATTTGTTTCGTGGAATCGATGAATTGCGGATGAAAGGGGAATTGGATTATTGTGTGCCTGAATTCGCAGATTTGGAAGAATTAAAGAAAGGCGATAAAGTGGAAGAGGCTAACGCTTTTTATTTTATTTTATTTTTATTTTATTTATTCCCGGCGAGGTTGATTGGGATGTGGCGTCTTCTCCGACTGCAACAACGCAGCCCAGGCTGTGGCTCTACGGAGGAATACAAATTGCATTTACAAATTTCTACTTATAATAATTTTACCATTTCCGCACTCAAACATTCTAAAGTTTTCTTTTTAGGATTTTACCTCTATTGTAAGCAGCATGACTCCAAATTTTCTCGGTCAACCTAATTCTTGTTTATGTCTTTTGGTTGCATACCCCACTTCCTTTTGTGGTTCAGGATAAGTATTTGTTTAATATTTAGACCTGTAAAATAACTCAAACCTTTCTCCCCCTTTGGACAACATACAAAACATACAAGTATATATATATGTCCAGATATAGGGAATTAATTTTTGCAGATTGCACATGTATAGATATGTGCACAAGAGTTACTTTCTCAAAAATACCAACAATACCACAAGAATAAATTGAATACAAGAAATCAGTCAAGCATCTTTTTCATAGGCATTGTTCCAATATATCCAAAATTAATACCAGATTTTATATCAGAGAATTTGATACAACATCAACACATATGTATTTCAAACACAATACATCAACCACATTCTCATAAGTATAATCTCTAATGCACCAGCAAACATTAACAAATGTCCATCAATTCAATCAAAAATGCATACCAATGCTCAAATCAAAATATGGCAATATCAAAATTCAAATCAATGTAACCGTGATGAATTCATACCAAACACAATATAAAAACATCACCAAATTTAAATTGCTCCAGAAAATAAAATTGTTCAAACCAAAGTAACCAAAATAACCAAATTGTTCAGACCTTAAAACTATTACAACCCAATTGAAATTTTGAACTAGAAATTTAAAACTAAGATTTGAACTAGAACTCTTAAAAATAGAATATTAAAACTCCTAAACGCATCACTCTGAATCATCTTGCATTCCAAGTTGAGCCTTAATCCTCGCAATCTCATGATCAAGGTTATCAAACTAATCAAGAATGCCAGAATAATATGATTCATGCTTCCTTGTCATTCCCATGACAGCATCTAGCTTATTTATCATAATTTGTTCAAATGGAGAAAATTCCTTAGGCTCCAATTGTTGCTCTTGTTCTGGTTCAGGCTCCACTTGAGGTGGAAGTTCCTCATCATGAGATGGAACTCCATCTTCATCCGTTGTCGGTTCTGGTGTTGGAGGAACATCACCCTTGAAAACCCATTTATCTTCTTGTTTCAGCATCCCCATATGATGCAAAGAAGATTTTTCAATCTTGTTTGAGGCATGGAGAATTATCTTTTTCTCCCCCTGAAGATCTACTCCTGCCTTCTCAAATATTCTTGACAAGAATAAAGCATAGGGTATAGGACCATCCTCCTTTCTCCTAGCCTTCCAGATACAATCATTCACAACAGATACCCAGTCTATCTTTTCCTTTTTCTTAATTACATGCATTAACAAAATATCATCTCTAGACATCTGAGCATGATTATGAAGCCTAGGTTTAAGCATCCATGCAATTATAAAAGAAATCAACCTAGAGTTTTTCTTCATACCTCCAACCAAAAATTTGTTGTAATTTGTGGTCTTTGGGTTTCTTTGACAATCCCTAAAGGTTGTCATCTCTTCAAGTCACCAAAATTGAAAGGTTGGGGCTTCATACTTCCTGTTCCACTCAGCTCAGCCATTTCTTTCAAAGTTGGTCCATCAAGCTTTATGAGCTTTCCTTTCACCATTGATTGCATTATTCCTTCGTTGCTTGAGGCGAAGCACAAAAATAGTCTAATAAGTTATGGGTAATATGGACCTTCCATAATAATAATAATAATAATAATATTAATATTATTATTATTAGAGTAAAGTGGTAATTCGTCTCTTTAAATATTTTTAAAAATAAAATATAAATATAATACTGTGAATGATTATTTAGAATTAATTAATGTTGATTACTAAATTATGAAGATGAAAAATAATTATAAAAAGAAATATTTTCTTTATATATCGGTATATATTATCTTTATATTTATTATAATAATCGTCCACTTCCTTCTTTTATTACAAGATAATACAGTAATAAGGTATAGAGTGTCAAAGATGCATCGATTTATAACTGATTTTTTGTCGGTATATTATTAATATAAAATAATATTAAAGATTATTTTTATTTTTATTATTCAAATAAGTTAATCATTTTTAATCACTCAAATCGTTATTCACCTATTTTATTACTTAGCTTTAATTTTTTTTATTTTATTTTGAAATAAAATATAAGGATAAAAGGTGTTTTATCTCATAATAACTTTTTATTAAACAATAATAACTTAATCATTATAAATATAGTTCATTTTAATTTTAATTATTTAAAAATTAGTTTATATATACTGTTGTGAAAAAATAATTTTCTACTTTCATATAGTTATTTAAAAAAATATATATAGATAATAAAAATTAAATAATTGTTTAGAAAAATAATAGGAGTAGAGTTAACTTTTTTGATTGATGTAAATTCTGAATTGACGTGAGTAGTGGAAATAGAAATAATTGTTAGTTATAGAGTTTGTTTGTATATTGTAAAAGAAGAGAAGAGGAAATGAAAAAAATAGTGGAGAAAACAATATGAATAATTTTTACTTCCATATTTAAGAGTAAGCTGTTCAAATAAATTAAATTAAAAAAGTGATATTATATATATAAAGGAAGATTAAATTATTTCAAAAATAATTTTTGATAGAGTTATTTTACATAGTAAATGTTGAATTTTAATAATTCAAGTGTTAAATTAAATTTGTTTAATGTATAGATAAGTTTAAATTTTTTAAAAAATTAAAAATTATTAAATATTTTATTTTATTAATTCAAATTACCAGATAATTATAAAATATTTTATATGTTGATTTGAATTTATATAATAAATTATTATATAATTTTCAAATTCTTTTAAAAAAAATATATGTAATCTATGAATTATGAATTTTTAATTTAACAATTAAATTATTGAAATTTAATATATACCATAAATTTTTAAATAGAGTAATTATATTAAAAATTATTTTAAAATAATTTGGTCCTTCCTTTCTCTTTCTATGTATAGAGAGAAATAGAGAGATATAAATCATTTAAGATAACATTTCAAAAAGTGAAAATCAAAATCAATTATAGAAAAAGTGTGATATTTATGTAAAAACAAACACACAGGAGGGTTGAATTGTTTATGTAATATATTGGGGGGGAAAATCACAAAATCTTTTTTAATATGCGTTCAGACAAACATTTTTGTAAGATAACATAATACGAAGGACAAAGAACAAAAACTTTGAACATATATTGTTATAATGGTTTACTAGTCAATAAGAGTTACTTTCTATCTCTTCAACACGATGATATGTCCACTATAACAATGTTTCAAACAAATGTTTATTTCATGTCTCTTCATATTACAACTCATAACAGTGGAAATACAGTTTAAACACACATATAACACTTGATATCAAATAAACAAGTTTTTACAAGTGTGTTAAGATCGTCCAACAAATTTTTTTTACGAAGAATATATAATTCGCAAATGATTGTCAAGAGTTCTTATTATGTCTCCCTCGAGTCTTCATTATATAAATGCAAGTGAGAGATCCATTTAGATAAGTATCCGATAGTTGCTGTTTGAGCTAAAGTCTCTTAAAAGCACTTTTAAATATAAAAAAATCAAAATAAATTTGTTCATATAAGTTAAAACTAATATAAGAGAGTTTTTATAAATTAGTTTATGTATAAACTGATTTTAGCTTAAAAAATAGTTTATTTCATTTTTTTTTTCTTCTAGAAATGTTTTGGGAGAATTTTATACAAACAATTCTAAATGCTTAAATTATCCATCTTAAACTTCAATCTTGTGTCGAGATGCAGAGCTTTTGGTTGATTTTTTGTACATTCTACGGCTAGTTTTAGGCTGGTGCTTTCTTTTCCTCTGATTCTACACTAATTAGCAACAAAGTGTAGTAGTGTTGTTTATTAGATCTCTCTAAATTCATTGCTATTAGATAAAATTGAAATTGTTTGGTTCTAACGTTCAACATTTCTATTTGAAATTTTGGATATTATAGAACAAGAAAAAGTAATAACTAATGCTACCAAGTATCAACAATGCCAAAGCAGACGGGTGATTAGGTGATGACCTCAAGAACAGGAGATAAGTAGAAATACAAGTGAAAGTAAATGTTGAATTCATGAGAACAAAAAGGTTGCTAAAGTGATGTAAGAAGCAGGTTACTAATAATATGGAAAAAGGTGTTAATCAAGCCTAACCATGATAACATACACGCTAGCTCTAATAATTGGGAGAAGAAATCTGGTCCAAAACTTGTAAAATTGTAATGTCACAGAACACTTGAGCAACAGTTAACTCTGCAAAGCTCCTAAGTAAAACAATTTATACAACATGCATGTGAATATAATTAGTTATACGACAACATAATGTGTTGTTCATGAACATAATGGAGGAAAGCCCATATATATAACAGTCACTTCAACAAACTCGAGTCCAGCAAGCTGCAATCAGAATCGAGTCCTGAACCCATCCATTTCACAGATTTTCTCAAAGAAAATAAGAACTATAGCAGCCCGCAACTTCTATTTTAGCCATCAATTGGTCAAATCCTACGTAAACGAAGCAATAAGAAATAAGAGCAAGACTAAGACTAATAATACTAAACAGGACATAACTAAGTGAGAGATTAATTACCTATGTCAGGACTCTGGATGTACATATCCTTGATCCTATGAGGTGAGGAACTGTCATAGGGTTGAAGGTGAGGGGTTTCTGGGCGTGTCTTTTTGTCTTTTGGAGAGTCAACTTCAGGCTCAGGCTCAGGCTCAGGCTCAGGCTCTACAAGATTTGGTGCGGGAGCGAGTTGCTTGCGCTTAGAACGAGCTCTTCTGTTCTGGAACCAGTTATAAACATTTGTCTCTGATATTTGGCCATGTTGTCCAAGCTGAATGGTTATCTCTTTGATCTTCTGTTTGGTGGGGGTGCCATTTCCCTCATCAAAAATCCTCTCCAGAATTTGAAGCTGCAGAGGCGTCGGAGTCCAACGCT